TTCATCGTGCCAACTGCTTTTAAAGGAACAGTCAGTCCGCGATGACCAATGAAAATGCAAAAGATTGTATTATATTTTAAGGGTAGAGTGGGCCGCGGTAGACAACCTCGTGCCAGTTTCGCGGTGGGACGGTGACACCTCTCTTTTTCAAGTAACTCCGCCTCCAGACTCCGCCCTCAAGTCTGTCTTGCAGGGTATAACGATGCTGCCGTCCGACTAAAGTGAACTGGAAGCTTTATTGTCTATTTGCAGGTGGCTATAGGGCCTTATGGCTGGTAAGGGAATGGTAAGGGATTAACTGACTGCAATCGTCCCAGCAGGTGTTACTCGTCCTGCACCAATCCTATTGTTCGAAGCTGAAGGGGACTTATTAGAGGCAGTTTTGAGATTCTTCTTTCATTTTCTCTTTGAGACGAGTTCTTTGCCAAATTCTATACCAGTCTCCACTGCCACTACCAACGCTCCTTATCGCGGACCGTGCCTTTGAAGAAGATGCTCCCTGAGTATTACTCCTCCATGGTACTGTACTGCCTCTGAAGTCCTCCACTAATACCATCGAGGTTCTGTTCGATAATCCTTCATTTTGGAATAACAGTTTTACATGTAAAGTCTCTCAGAAGGAGTCAAATCTCCTCTGTGTCCTTCCCCACTAGGACTCCTTGTCCCCTTAGTGGTAACGCCATCAACGACGACACTGCCGTATATTCTTTGACGGACCCCATTTCTCACCGTTCAGGGCACATGATAAGTTGGGGATTTTCGTCGAGTCCATACATCTCTCTCCCACTTTTTTAAGGGGTTGGTACGCACCCCCCCCCCGTCCTGGTTCCGTCCTCATCGAGCTGTCGAGCGTGGGGGGGAGGGATAGGAGTCCTCTCTCTACAATTTCTTAGAGTTCCCCCCCCCACTTCCTACCGCGTTTTTCCGACTTCCCGAAAACTTTCCTACCTTTGCCAAGAAAATTTTGACGGGGGGGAGGGGGGAGGGCGGAGGGGGGGAACAGGAAACCACGAGAAGTCAACAACCATTCCCACAAGGTCAATACGACCCCCTCTCTCAGCCACGAAACACGATCCCCCTGTTGGTGAATCCCCAACAACGACGCCCTCTGTCACCATTTACTCGGGTAGAAAACATAAAAAGAGACCTTTGGAAATCTGTGGTGTTCCAGCATCAACTGGTGCTCCGCGAGCCTGAACGGAAATAAAAATCACAGTGAAGTGACACAATGAGCAATTCCTATAACTTACACTAGCAGCTTCCGAGCCGCCAGCAGTTCCTCGATCCCCAGCCGCTCCTGGACCACCACATGCACCGGAATCAGCGCCGCCTTCGGAGGAACCTCTCTTGCGTGGCTTGCCAGAAATGATGATTGGGGCGAAATTGGCCGCTTCTGCAAAGAATTAAGCTAGACTGCACACAGTGAAAAAAGAATTTTTTTCACAAAAGTAACTGTGACATACCCCCGTCACCAATGGGTTCCTGAAAAAAAAGCACTGCATAGCAGTCATTAAATTTGGATTATGCGACAAATATTCATCTATCAGACTTTATGACTCACTCTCGGCTCTTCTTGAGGTGCGGGTTCGGGTTCCTTTTTAGGAGGTGACTTCTTCGGAGTCTTTGTGTCAGTAGTCTCACTTTTACTCAATAGTGGTTTCTGGAATTGTTATTTTGACACATACGTCAACTGTACCGCTCCTATTCCTGCAGTGCGCACGCATTTTGGTGTAACCCCAAGTCTTCCGAGGAGGTATAGCCCATCCCCATAGTCTTGTTCAATGTGAATGCAGGGGCATGAAAGACTGTGGTTTTGTCGCGGCGCCAGCTCGTTTTCCTTGTTTTAGCTTGCCCTCTCCAACCACTGGTGGAGATCAAGTTAGCGCCGCGTCTCAGCGTATCAGCGGGTAGTTGCGTGTACTTGGGTTGAAGTTCCATATTTCGAAGAGTAAGCCTTAGATGGCCCACGAGGTCGTTCGAGAGCATTAAGCGCGCGACTCCTCCTTGTAGCAGGGTGCGGCCTCCAGCGATCCCGGCGTTTCGCCGTGACCAGGTGCCTTCCGCCGATGCTGTCATCTTTAAAGCAACTGGGCGCGCACTAGCTGTCTGCGTTGCGGAGTTTTGCGACAGAATTATGAGCAGTTAGTCACGTAAACATCCCTGCTATCGGTATTCACACCCTGTAGCATTTCCCTTCTAACTTGTTGAGATCTGACGAATGTCGCGCCGCTGCCGCAACCTAGATCTCCCGAGCGAGACCCCACAAAAGCTTCTATTCGCTCGTTATTCCAATCCAGTCAGTCATCATACTAATCCATTAGGATACAACGCTAAGTTTATAGTCAGGCACCGTACCTTCTCGCTAACTCGTGATGATGGGTCACTTCTGTAGCTGTCCTGAAAAAGGAGAGTAATTAAGTAAGGTAGAACCACAAATGATTGATTTCTTCTTTTGAATGAGGGTCAGTCGGGCCTCCTTCCGCCCGACCGACCCTCATTATACAAATGACTGACTTCGAGGAGGACCCTATCTCATTATGCTTACATGGTTCTGATATCATGACTATATTCTTTCCAGACCCTTCAGATTATGGCCCGCTGCTCTGTTCTGGTTGCAGGAACGAGATGAATCCGACTTCGACTGGGGGCTACCACTCCACTAGTACTTGGAAAGTGACCTCCCCGGATGCTCTCAAAGGTATATTCCATGATAAGCGGAACGGCGGAGTCTTGATACTGTGGCCTCCAAATCGGTATAACGCCCTTCACAACATGGGTAAGAGTAAGGGGGGGGGGGATTAAGAAGGGTCAAGGTCATAATTCTCCGCCCATACCTTATCGCGGAATTTGCCTTTTGTTTTTGACTACGACTACGGACTGCATTCAAAGAAGATTTGGCGATCCTCGCTGAGAGTCATACACTAAATATCCCGACAACGCTGGACCGAAGCTGATCGGCCTACCAGTATATGTGAGGCTGTGGTAATTATACTACGCAGTGGTATATTCAGCGCCAAACGTCAGAACTCCAGCCTCAGCTGGACAAGACATTTGATAATTACCTTGTCTTCCAGTTTCATCATGACAATGATGCAGATCAAAAGGAAGATTATGATCAATGCCAGAACGATTATGAGTATTAGCAGTGGGATGAAATACGGCTTATATTTGCTGAAATCGTGGATAGAATTTTTCACGGCAAATGAACTGACATTTCCTCAGTAGTACCACGACGGCTGTGAAGGGGCTACACTACACTCAAATGATGCTCATATAAGACCCTTTGCGGTTGCAGCATACCCCCTGGAGGAACGCTGTCGAATTACTCCTGAGAAAGGCGTACTACAGTTGATAATGGAGCGCAGTTCTGCTTGGTGAGGGCATTTTGCTGGTTCTCACCGATCACTGCCGATGTCTCCTGAGGAGACCTGTAAATTTCTGCAAACAATATGCAACAGCAGTAGCTTCGTTTGCATCCGGCACTAGTTTACAGGTCTATCAATGTGAGGCGAGTAGTCAAAAGGAAATAGTAAAAAACCAGCGTAAGCGCCGAACGCCCCTTCCAAGCCGAACACTGCCATAAAGCAACTTTACATACCTGCTATGTGTTGCTGTGTCGCCTGAAGGATTTCCTGTAAATTTTATGATGTGAGCATGTTCCGATGCACTCTGCGTTATGATCACCTATCACCTTCCGGGACAGAAGCTGGTTTTTGGAGGTTTACTATTAATGAAGCACTCATGGATTATGGCTTAGCTTAGACAGCGTTTAGACTTCGCCACGCGCTGTGACTCGTATGGCTGCATTCATACTTTGCAGGCAGCATCCACCAGCAGCCACCAGTTTTCAAGCCTCCGTCAGTGCCAGCGATTAGAAAAGCATAGATATTGATCTAGCGAACGGCAGCGTCCACCGGAGTCCACCAGTGACTAGGAAACTGCGGGCGGCGTGAGCAACCGCACCATACAACTGTTAAAGCAGGATTAGCAGTTTACTGTATGGTATT